AGCCGTTTTAGGGGGGCGTGGCAGAGTCTTAACTTTGATAAAGAATATCTCTTTGGTTTTGAGACTTTAGTCTTTGCAACTTCAGGGATCTTATCTATGCACAATCAGCTTGTAACACTCCAAAGAGAAAGGAAAACTTGAAATCGCATCATATGACCCCTTTAATATTGGTTGACTGTTAACAAAATGGTGGTTACAGCCCTGCTCTTCCCAACCCCTCCAAGTATGTTTGCTCAAATAAATTAATCAACATGTCGCCATTTTATAGGAGCTAAACTTTTTCTTTGAACTTCCTGTTGTGCACAGAGAACTGTATTTGAGAGATGATACAATAACAGAGGGTGAATGTGCGGAGGAGCTGCTCCAGCTGGCCAAACACACAGTAGAGGAGTACTTTGTTGCACCTCCAGGTAAAAAACTGAACTAAACTGTAAAAAGACAAGCCGTTCTATCAGAACTTAAAAACTATTTAATCTCCATCCAAGCATGAAGTATTGAGGTTTGTATAATTTAATGATTTAACCTTGGATTCACTGTTTAAATTAAATTGTCTTATCAGAGTAGAACAAATGTGTCTTGGTTAACTTTGCTTTTTACTTTTTTTTCTAATTAATTGAATATGTGTACTGCTTATATATATATATTTATATATATACTGTATATATATGGATGTTTCAGGGTTTTATTCTGATGTTACTGAACAATAATTCATTGTTGATTAAATTTGCTGAACATCCTGCTAGCGATTAGGTGGAATGGAAACCGAAAGTAACTATGTTTTCAGAAACGAAACGTTATTGTTTGTGGGCGGGGTTTAAGTTGACGCTATAAATTCATGCCACCGTCCGGAAGACGTCATTTGGTGTGATTTACCTGACTTCAGAGTATTCAGCAGAACTTAAGATATGAACAGCTCGGTAAGCCGCGTAAGTCTTTTGAAAATATTGCACGTTAATATCATATAATAAATTCATTAAATGTACGTACGAAATTAAGTATTTTAAAATAAGCTGAGGATGCTGTAGTAGTTTTAAATATTTAATTATTATAATTAATATTTTGACAGGTAATGGAACTGACAATAAGACTGCTGGGAGGAGTTGTGAAGCGTCTGGAGGTGAGCGGTGATGCCACAGTTGGCGAACTCAAGCAGCGCATTTCTCAACTCTTCGGAGAGCCTCCTTACAAACAGAAGCTTTCTGCCGATAACGGTACCCATATCAGCCTCGAGGACGATTCCAGAACCCTCAGCAGTTACGGGTTGCACTCTGGATCAGTGGTGAGTCTGCTCATCACGAACCCAGCTGGACCTTTCCAAGTGTTCGTCAGGAATGAGAAGGGCCAGACTGGAACGTATGATGTTGATGTCAATGAGACCGTGGATCAGCTCCAGACTAAGATCTACAACAAAGAGAGAGTCCCGAAGGATCAGCAAAGACTGATTTACAACGGAAACCCGCTGGAGACTGGCAGGAAGTTGCAAGAATACGACATCACACCACTAAGCACCATTCAAATGACTCTCCGTCTGCGAGGAGGTTAATGGAGGAGATCAGCGCGATAACTTAACCGATCCAACTATTTTAATGACTAAACACTAGACATGCCAAAATAGGAAAAGTCATAATGAAAGACATTTTTATTCGGTCTGGATAAGAGTGTATACTAAATGAATGCAAATATGCCTATCTACAAGTAGTGTCAGAATATGTATTCATATGTTGATAATGTCGGGTATATCATTTTCAGAAACGAAACATTATTGTTTGTGGGCGGGGCTTAAGATGACGCTTTGAATTCATGCCTCCGACCCAATATAGGAGCTGGAGTGATTTATCTGTTATCAAATAGACTATATACGTCTTGTAAAATTCTTGCACGTTAATAGCATATAATAAATTAATATACGCTAAACTCCGATTTTTAAAATTGCATTTATTTTTTCTGTTTAATATCTATTAGTATCAGAATATTTATTTTATTTTTATTATATTTATTTATTAATTGTGATTTAATGTATTCATGTAATTTAAGAAATGTATAAAATATGTAATAAGTGTAATTCTTCCTCATACAGTTCCAGTTTAAGGTTTCTGTATATGTTCTTGTCAACCCCTTTCTTGCTAAATAAAATATAAATGCTCAAACCAGTCCTGTGTATTTTGCATGTTTTATTGACTTGCTATGCCTATAGAGTAACTGGTATACACAAAACACCAGTTTCACTAATAATTTTAAACATTTTAAAATTATGGATCACTAGATGTGAAATATCATATTTTGTTAATAGGCTGCGTATTTCCATTTGGAAATGAATTAGAGCTGATCACAAATGTATGTTAATTCATTTTCTTTTTATTTGATCAAAATGATGACATTACATTATCACTTCCCTTAAAACCATGTCCTCAGCTCAGACCATAACTCACACTTCAGTTTAAAACATATTTAAGAAAAACAGCATTATAAATAATTATCATTAAACTTAAAAAAAATTATATATTAGCCTTTCATAAGGTGTTACAGATGTGTCCCTAACACTGTCAGATATTAATGAAACTAGAATCAGGAGATTGCAATGTCAGCTTTCATCCTGAGGGGCCCCTTAATTTACTGGTTATGTTCAACAAAATCAAATTTTGGTGAGTCGTTCTGTGTCTTTTAGCCTTTTCTTTAATATAATTGTTAGTAACTGCTTATATTTACTGTCACAACCATGAACTGTCAACTCCTTTACACAAATTGTAAGTAAATAGTTGGATAGGCTATTTTCAACAACGTTATTTGACCGTGGTGATAATTCATTCTCAGTTTGATTTTCATTCTCAGACTGATGTCTCAATTCATTCATTCATTGAGGTGAATTCTAAATTTGTCAATATTTATAATACATATTTGACAGATTATTGTTTTAACTGACATGTTGTTGACCCATATTGAGTAGCAATACACATTTAGTGATAAAACTGACAAAGAAGTAGCTTGTTTAGGCATTTAAACATGTTAAATAATTCAAAATAGTTCCTTGGTAAATAACGTTTTATTTCAGTTTTGTTGCCATATGGCTGCTGTAACTTCAAAAGCTTCTTCAGAATATTTAGAGAAGAATAAGCTCATCCTGGGCAATAAACAAACACTTCTCAAAGTAATATAAAGATTGTCACCAGTATAATTTAAATATAGTAAGTGTCTGAAAAAGCACAATTTAAATATATTTCTTTTTCACCTGGGTTAACCATGGTGTAGTCACAATGGACAAGGTGTGTTTTGCTCTTATATGACGTGCTTCACTTTACCTGGATTTCCCCAATCACATGATCATGTGGAATGCTTTCTAATTCCAATGCTCTCTGATTTCCTATTATGTCTGAATGAAACTCAAGTAGGAGATGCCTATTTGACTATTTTTTGTTACATTTATTTTTTAATGCTCATTTTTATGTTTATGAAACATGTAGATAAACTAGGCTACACACTGCTTTTAATGTAGATTACAGAAACATTGTTTACATTGATTTAACCAGAGAAGTGTTACATTGTTTATCCATCCAAATAAGAAAGTTCTCTGCAGGTTCCCAGAACCTTGTAGGCAGATTTTTTATTATTTTTATTTTTATTTATTTATTTTAATTACCTACAGAGAACCTATAGGCATACAGTACGTTCTATAATGGTTATTTTTATTTTTAGCTTTTTTATTTAAAACGTTTTGGGATCCAAAAATGGTTGGCTGCGTAAAATAGACTATAAACGAGATTTATTTATTTATTTAGCCTATTTAAAATATAAATGAATAAATGTAAGCTATTTCATATCTGCATTGTTTATTTCCGCTGAATTTGTTGATGAATGATTTCTCAGGACTTACATCAGCGATTGGGTGAGAATGGAAACAGAAAGTGACTGAGCAAGTTTTCGGAAACTAAACATTATTTTGAGGCGGGGCTTGAGTTGATGCTTTATATATTCATGCCTTTGTACACTGTAATCAGAGGCACATTACTTGATTTCGGTGCGGTTTACCAGTCCTACTTTTTGAAGAAAGCAATCCAGCGAAAGCCATATTCAGCCAAATATTTTAACAACCAGCCCGGTAAGCCGCTTACCAATTTATGAAATTATTGAGCATTGATATTAACGCTAATCTCCAGTTTTAAGTAGGCCTAAGTAAATTATGTTGTAGTAGCCTAATTGTAATTATTTTATCTCATTTTGAAAGGTGATCAAGAAGTGAGTTTGTTTTTGACTTAGTTTCTAGTTCAGTGGTTCTCAAGCTTTTGTGATATACTGAATACGATTTTTTTAACTCACAATTTCTAGATATTCACAATGCTAGCCACAAACTTGTCATGTGAGGCGTGTTTCCGCTCGCACCCAGAAATGGAGAACAAGACGCAAGACATTCTTACAATTCCAGAAAAGATCACTGTGGGGATTTTATTTGTTTCTTGTTGTCATTCTAATGTCCTGAAGTAAAAAGCAGACTTAAACAACTATACAAATGTAATGAGGGTGAGGCAGAAGCCGAAGAAGAATCCATATGCGGATGTTTATTGAAGCAGTCCAACAAAACCAAACTCAGGGTCAGTAAAAACAGGCAATGAGGTCAAAAACACAGTAAGGCAGTCCAACCAGGCAAACAGGCAAAAGGGGTAATCCAAAAGAGAAGTCAAAACAAACAGATAAACAGGTCATACACGTGGTAAGAAGGCAGAGATACAAACGCTTGGTAAGGCAGGATAAACTGGCAATACTTCGCAAAGCAGTCATGTGGCGGCCAGGTTAATATGGCCACTAAACAGGAAGTGGTTGCAGAGAAAGCAGAGGGAGTGCTAACAGTCAATACTCGGGCGAGGGCTCCCTCTGCTGGCTTGGTGTTACAACAAAGTATTTTTCATTGTCATTTTGTCTGTCATAAAAAAGGTACTGGATATTTTCCAGAAACCATATACATGGATGGTACAAGACAAATGAGAATGAATGGAAAGTGATCATTACTCACAGACTGATATGCTGCACTAAGTTCTGCACATATCAGAATGGGCGTGGTTGCTCTCTATAGGGTGTGTTTAGGATCACTCTGGGTTTCCCTAATCATGTGATCATGGGGAATACCCTCTCTTTCCAATGATTCACTCAGGAAAATTACGGTTGTGTAAGTAGCTGTCAATGAAAAATGTTTTCTTTATAAAACTCTACAAAAGGCCTATCTCAAATATAGAAAAGTAAACTGCACTGTTGCACAAACCGTGTTATGGATTTATTGTGGCAACAAATCTAAAGTCAACATGATTCAGCATTATTAAAAAATAAATATTTTATGATCTGTTCACAGAAAGGTTCTTTGGGGAACCAAAATGGTTCTTCAATGGCAACACTGTGAAAACTCTCATTTAGAAGCTTTATTTTTGTGAGCTGAGTATGATTGAATATTTAATGGATGTTACACAAACAAATAAATAATATTAAAAGTAATAAAAAGGATTAGGGAACAAATAACTGGCCATACTCTACAGAATTTCACATTGGTTCAATCTACAAAATTCCACTATGACATAATTCTTGTGCATGAGAATTCAAGCTCCGTACACACCTAGATGTTTGTACCTTACACGTCATGTTTAACACCTGTTATGCTCACTGCTTTTCTGAAGTATGGAAACCGAAAGTTGCTGAACAATCCCTGAAAAGGAAACTCAATGTGGGGGTGAGTTTCAAAACAATCATGATTGTGAACTGATTGTGTGTGTTTGTGAAAGAGGCAACTTTCTTTTTATAATTGAAAAAAGTAATAAACATACCTTGTTTGTTAACTTTACAGCTGCTATAAATGCTGTGTAAAAATGCTTTCACATTTTTAAATACAACAATATCATCTTTTTTTAAACACTGTCATCCAGTATTGAGCCTTTAAATTATAAGACTGAATGAATTAAAATACATTTTATTGGTGTGCTGGTAATTATTTTAAACCAACCATTTTAAACCTAAAATGGCTCGTTCTAACACGCCCCCACATGTCTATATCACGATGTGGGTTGGAAAATAATGTGTTTTTTTAACCTTAAACCGCATAAACACATTTCATTACACCAAATACACAAAATAATGTTCTTTTTAGCAACATCATATGATCCCTTTAACAAAGTTCAAATTTTTGCTGAAGATAGTCGAACGCAGCCAGTTAGCTCTACATGACCACGCCCTAAAGTCCACGTGCTGTCTCTTAAAGAGACAAGCCAGACCAACCCTTAAAGGGACAGAACATTCTGCAATTTACTCACCCTCATGTTGTTCCAAACCAGCATGACTTAAAAAAATCCTAAGGGTTTTAGTTATGAGATTTAAAACATGTGAAGCTGTAGAGAAAGCAGATAGGAAACATTACTGTTGCAGAATTTATTTAGTTTAATGTACATGTGAAAAAATATTTGCAATAATACACACTAATATCATAAAAATATACAATTGTGCAAATAGCATCATGTACAATCAACATATAACAAGGAATTTACAGAATAACACTGGTAATGAAAGTACACTGAAATATTTATGTCAGCAAAAAATCTCTTTGGTAAATACTCAGGATCTGGAGTATGGATTGCATTCCCATATTCTTGCTAGGTTTCCCTTCTAAGTATTCACAAAGATAAATTGACTGGGATATGTCAATCATACAACAAAACAAAACACAAATTAAGCAGGATTCATAGGAAACCTGATCTACATGTAGACACACAACACCTGATGAGGATACATCCCATGATTTTGCGTTCTCCTTTAATTAACGTCAAAGTGTGAAACAAAAATAACTTAGTGCTGTGGTTACGTGTTACAAAATACCTTTATATGCAAATTGCATAAATATATGATTAACAATAGATAATTCATTGACAAAGACACATTGTTAATGATAAAAACTGCATGAGAAACCATTTAAAATTTTCTTCTAACAGATCATTAGCTTAATGAGCAAGGCAACAATTCTAGGTCAATTTTAATTAACCAACATGTCGCCATTTTATAGGAGCTAAACTTTTTCTTTGAACTTCCTGTTGTGCACAGAGAACTGTATTTGAGAGATGATACAATAACAGAGGGTGAATGTGCGGAGGAGCTGCTCCAGCTGGCCAAACACACAGTAGAGGAGTACTTTGTTGCACCTCCAGGTAAAAAACAAAACTAAACTGTAAAAAGACAAGCCGTTCTATCAGAACTTAAAAACAATTTAATCTCCATCCAAGCATGAAGTATTGAGGTTTGTATAATTTAATGATTTAACCTTGGATTCACGGTTTAAGTTAAATTGTCTTATCAGAGTAGAACAAATGTGTCTTGGTTAACTTTGCTTTTTACAATCAGCGCGATAACTTAACCGATCCAACTATTTTAATGACTAAACACTAGACATGCCAAAATAGGAAAAGACATAATGAAAGACATTTTTATTCGGTCTGGATAAGAGTGTCTACTAAATGAATGCAAATATGTCTATCTACAAGTAGTATCAGAATATTTTATTTTATTTTTATTATATTTATTTATTAATTGTGATTTAATGTATTCATGTCATTTAAGAAATGTATAAAATATGGAATAAGTGTAATCCTTCCTCATACAGTTCCAGTTTAAGATTTTTACTTCAAATGTTGACTACTATATATATATATATATATATTTATATATATACTGTATATATATGGATGTTTCAGGGTTTTATTCTGATGTTACTGAACAATAATTCATTGTTGATTAAATTTGCTGAACATCCTGCTAGCGATTAGGTGGAATGGAAACCGAAAGTAACTATGTTTTCAGAAACGAAACGTTATTGTTTGTGGGCGGGGTTTAAGTTGACGCTATAAATTCATGCCACCGTCCGGAAGACGTCATTGGTGTGATTTACCTGACTTCAGAGTATTCAGCAGAACTTAAGATATGAACAGCTCGGTAAGCCGCGTAAGTCTTGAAAATATTGCACGTTAATATCATATAATACATTAATTAAATGTACGTACGAAATTAAGTATTTTAAAACAAGCTGAGAATGCTGTAGTAGTTTTAAATATTTAATTATTATAATTAATATTTTGACAGGTGATGGAACTGACAATAAGACTGCTGGGAGGAGTTGTGAAGCGTCTGGAGGTGAGCGGTGATGCCACAGTTGGCGAACTCAAGCAGCGCATTTCTCAACTCTTCGGAGAGCCTCCTTACAAACAGAAGCTTTCTGCCGCAGACCATAACTCACACTTCAGTTTAAAACATATTTAAGAAAAACAGCATTATAAATAATTATCATTAAACTTAAAAAAAAAAATAATAATAAAATAAAAAAAAATATATATATATAAAAAAAATATATTAGCCTTTCATAAGGTGTTACAGATGTGTCCCTAACACTGTCAGATATTAATGAAACTAGAATCAGGAAATTGCAATGTCAGCTTTCATCCTGAGGGGCCCCTTAATTTACTGGTTATGTTCAACAAAATCACATTTTGGTGAGTCGTTCTGTGTCTTTTAGCCTTTTCTTTAATATAATTGTTAGTAACTGCTTATATTTACTGTCACAACCATGAACTGTCAACTCCTTTACACAAATTGTAAGTAAATAGTTGGATAGGCTATTTTCAACAACGTTATTTGACCGTGGTGATAATTCATTCTCAGTTTGATTTTCATTCTCAGACTGATGTCTCAATTCATTCATTCATTGAGGTGAATTCTAAATTTGTCAATATTTATAAATATAATACATATTTGACAAATTATTGTTTTAACTGACATGTTGTTGACCCATATTGAGTAGCAATACACATTTAGTGATAAAACTTACAAAGAATAGCTTGTTTAGGCATTTAACATATATTAAATGCCTAAACATGTTAAATAATTCAAAACAGTTTCTTGGTAAATAACTTTTTATTTCAGTTTTGTAGCCATATGGCTGCTTTAACTTCAAAAGCTTCTTCAGAATATTTAGAGAAGAATAAGCTCATCCTGGGCAATAAACAAACAATGCTCAAAATAATATAAAGATTGTCACCTACAATATATATCAGGTGAGACTAGTTTGGACTGTATCATGCAATAGTAGGCTGGACAGCAGGCATAATTAACAGCAAACAACACCAGAACAGAAAACAAAACTGTGGCCTTTTAACCATGGTGTAGTCACAGTGGACAAGGTGTGTTTTGCTCTTATATGACGTGCTTCACTTTACCTGGATTTCCCCAATCACATGATCATGTGGAATGCTTTCTAATTCCAATGCGCTCTGATTTCCTATTATGTCTGAATGAAACTCAAGTAGGAGATGCTTATTTGACTATTTTTTTGTTACATTTATTTTTTTAATGTTCATTTTTATGTTTATGAAACATGTAGATAAACTAGGCTATACACTGCTTTTAATGTAGATTACAGAAACATTGTTTACATTGATTTAACCAGAGAAGTGTTACATTGTTTATCCATCCAAATAAGAAAGTTCTCTGCAGGTTCCCAGAACCTTGTAGGCAGATTTTTTATTATTTTTATTTTTATTTATTTATTTTAATTACCTACAGAGAACCTATAGGCATACAGTACGTTCTATAATGGTTATTTTTTATTTTTAACTTCCCAAAACGTTTTGGGATCCAAAAATGGTTGGTGTTACATTGTTTATCCATCCAAATAAGAAAGTTCTCTGCAGGTTCCCAGAACCTTGTAGGCAGATTTTTTATTATTTTTATTTTTATTTATTTATTTTAATTACCTACAGAGAACCTATAGGCATACAGTACGTTCTATAATGGTTATTTTTATTTTTAACTTCCCAAAACGTTTTGGGATCCAAAAATGGTTCGCTGCGTAAAATAGCCTATAAACGAGATTTATTTATTTATTTAACCTATTTAAAATATAAATGAATAAATGTAGGCTATTTCATATCTGCACTGTTTATTTCCGCTGAATTTGTTGATGAATGATTTCTCAGGACTTACATCAGCGATTGGGTGAGAATGGAAACAGAAAGTGACTGAGCAAGTTTTCGGAAACTAAACATTATTTTGAGGCGGGGCTTGAGTTGATGCTTTATATATTCATGCCTTTGTACACTGTAATCAGAGGCACATTACTTGATTTCGGTGCGGTTTACCAGTCCTACTTTTTGAAGAAAGCAATCCAGCGAAAGCCATATTCAGCCAAATATTTTAACAACCAGCCCGGTAAGCCGCATACCAATTTAAGAAATTATTGAGCATTAATATTAACGCTAATCTCCAGTTTTAAGTAGGTCTAAGTAAATTATGTTGTAATTCTAATGTCCTGAAGTAAAAAGCAGACTTAAACAACTATACAAAGTATTTTTCATTGTCATTTTGTCTAAGTCAAAAAAAAGGGTGATATTTTCCAGAAACCATATAGCCTACATGGATGAAGGATCAGCAAAGACTGATTTACAACGGAAGACAGCTGGAGACTGGCAGGAAGTTGCAAGAATACGACATCACACCACTAAGCACCATTCAAATGACTCTCCGTCTGCGAGGAGGTTGATCGGTGAAATGTGTGCAAAAATGACTAAAAAGTGTTGTCGTGAAATGTGTTTAGTGATGTAAATACGGTAGGCCTATTACTCAGTATCAGAATATTGTGGTTTAATATCTTTTTTGGTGATTGATAAAACGTAGGAATTGGGGAACAATGTGTTAAGAGCTCATGTAATTCCACTGTATTTATCTGCATTTTATATAACTGTAGGATCTATCTTATATCGTTATGAATGATCTTGAACTGTAACTAAAATAATAAATGCTCGAATCATTCCCAAGAAGTGAGTTTGTTTTTGACTTAGTTTCTAGTTCAGTGGTTCTCAAGCTTTTGTGATTTACTGAATACGATTTTTTAAACTCACAATTTCTAGATATTCACAATGCTAGCCACAAACTTGTCATGTGAGGTGTGTTTACGCTCGCACCCAGAAATGGAGAACAAGACGCAAGACATTCTTACAATTCCAGAAAAGATCACTGTGGGGATTTTATTTGTTTCTTGTTGTCATTCTAATGTCCTGAAGTAAAAAGCAGACTTAAACAACTATACAAAGTATTTTTCATTGTCATTTTGTCTAAGTCAAAAAAAAGGGTGATATTTTCCAGAAACCATATAGCCTACATGGATGGTACAAGACAAATGAGAATGAATGGAAAGTGATCATTACTCACAGACTGATATGCTGCACTAAGTTCTGTACATATCAGAATGGGCGTGGTTGCTCTCTATAGGGTGTGTTTAGGATCACTCTGGGTTTCCCTAATCATGTGATCATGGGGGAATACCCTCTCTTTCCAACGATTCACTCAGGAAAATTAAGGTTGTGTAAGTAGCTGTCAATGAAACACTTTTTCTTTATAAAACTCTACAAAAGACCTGTCTCAAATATAGAAAAGTAAACTGCACTGTTGCACAAACCGTGTTATGGATTAATTGTGGCAACAAATCTAAAGTCAACATGATTCAGCATTATTAAAAAATAAATATTTTATGATCTGTTCACAGAAAGGTTCAACACTGTGAAAACTCCCATTTAGAAGCTTTATTTTTGTGTGTTGAGTATGATTGAATATTTAATGGATGTTACACAAACAAAACAAAAAAAATATTAAAATTAATAATAAAAAGGATTAGGGAACAAATAACTGGCCATACTCTACATAATTTCACATTGGTTCAATCTACAAAATTCCACTATGACATAATTCTTGTGCATGAGAATTCAAGCTCCGTACACACCTAGATGTTTGTACCTTACACGTCATGTTTAACACCTGTTATGCTCACTGCTTTTCTGAAGTATGGAAACCGAAAGTTGCTGAACAATCCCTGAAAAGGAAACTCAATGTGGGGGTGAGTTTCAAAACAATCATGATTGTGAACTGATTGTGTGTGTTTGTGAAAGAGGCAACTTTCTTTTTATAATTGAAAAAAGTAATAAACATACCTTGTTTGTTAACTTTACAGCTGCTATAAATGCTGTGTAAAAATGCTTTCACATTTTTAAATACAATATAACCTTTTTTAAAACACTGTCATCCAGTATTGAGCCTTTAAATCATAACACTAAATGAATTAAAATAAATTTTATTGGTGTGCTGGTAATTATTTTAAACCAAATGTCATAAAAAAACAACATTGTCTGCATTTGTCAGGCCTATACAAGTACAAAATATATTAGCAAGACCACTACTATTAATGTAGATCAACTCACAGTTAAAGAGTGAAGATAATAGCAGCAGTATTAGAAACTGCTCAAATGAGTTTGTCTCTGTAATCAGTGTTTTTTAATTAATCAAATACAACAATCAAAATTCTGACATCATTGTCAGTGCTTCCATAAGCAGTAGAAATACATTCAGCAGATTTTTTTTTTCTTTTCTAAAATGAATCATAACAGAGCAATAATTCATTAACAGTCAATGGAAGTAGCAGTAAAATCTCATCACCGACCCACATCACAGTTATATTACAGAAACTGACCAATATTCCCTGTCAGTTGTCCTGGAAGACATTTAAAACATATCTGATGCGCAGCCGTCCTTTAAAGGCACAAACTGGATTCAACCAATCTAAACCAACCTAGGTCCACTGTAGCTGGTTTTGTGGTTTCATTTCCTGACTGAGGCTAGGTAGGCATACCAGAATAAAGCAACCAGGTTGGCAAACAGCACTCGAAACAGTGCAAAGAATAAGAGAAAAAGAAAGTGAGATAATGGATCAGAGATGTCTTATGCAATCTGAATAAAAGGATTGGTATAATGCTCTTATGCATACCTGTACAGGTACATAGTTGATATTGATGAACTGAAATGGGGTCCAAACCTTCCAGTTCATCTTCATTGCAGGCCAGTAACTTGTTTTAAGTTTGTTTTGAACATCTGCGAGTGTCTTGCCCTGCAAATATCACATTTGCATATCATTATATCATAGATATATTGTGGATTGTGCAGCCATATACTAGCAGCATATCTCATGATGAATTAGAAATAGAAGATACAATAAGTTTAGTGCAAATCAATGTAGCTGTAAACAATCACCATAAACGATTTACTTCAACATATGTTAAGTTGATCTTCATATTCTTTACAATAATTTATTTGTGTTCTCTTCCTTGTGCATGCCTCAGAAGTACAAGATATGCTTCATCACACTGCAACCTTGAAGGCCAGTCAGATCAAATATTATGAATGGACTTTAAAACCTGTTAAGCCATGAAAAGTGGTTTTGTTTCAAGGAAGAAATGAGTTTCCAAATAGATAAAAACATTCTGTTTGTACTAAATAAAATTATATATATAAATCATTTATTTAAATTATTCTCTATAAGACGTATTTGTTAAACAGTGTCTTGACCCAGATAATCTTCACATACAAGATAAAACAAGTTCAGTATTACTATATATTAGTTTAATGTCAATTGTAATTAGCTCAAGCATATCCAGGTGGTGTGACACTAGAGAAAAAAATAAAATAAATAAATTTAGTGATGTGACGTTCGACACCGAGGCTTCGAAGCTTGTATCAAAAAAACGAAACATCTCACAGTGAAGCACTGTACCTTTGATTAGTTTTGCCAAAACCACGTGATCTGTGACGTCCGAAGCTTCGTTTTTGCACACAACCACGTGACTGCTTCTGTATTAGAACTGCATCGCATATAATTATTTAATTAAATCGTAGCGTTTGTGAATTCACATAACGCGAACCAATTGCGCAGTTTCAAGTGTCCCTCACGTCTTTGAAAAGAATAAATCATAATACGAATAAATATTTGCATGTGTAGTTTTCTGCATGATCATTTTGTATTAATTCCTGGTTCAGACACTTTAACTAACCAATCTTCTATGATAATCTTCCGTTATTTTCAGTGGCGGCTCGTCGGGGGAGGCAGGGGAGGCACAGCTTCAGCTCTCTTTTAACACAGACTTTTAAGAAGGGATGGATGTTTGCTTCAAGTGATAGGCCAGGTAAGTGAAATTATATTATCTTGCTGTATGTATGTCGTTTTCTTTTACGTTTTCTGACTAAAAGCAACCAAAAAGCCATTTTAAAGTGGTTAAGCAAATAATAATAATAATCGGCAGGGATCCCAGACTAATACAATTAGTGTGCCTCCTCTATTTTAAAACCCACTGGTTATTTTGATCATACAGCCTTGCCTATTTTTCCCACAAATTTATTCACAGACTCATTTATTCATATTGTGTAATACAATGACTGACATGAAGACTTATTTATATAGACTTCATATTTTCTTTGCTTTATACAGGTTTTCATAGCACAAACTAATTTATTATCTGAAACAGTCCAAAAATGGCTGGGTCGTCTGGGACGCAAAGGCAGCTTTTTCCACCTTCTGACCACAAGATGTCGATAGTGTGCACCGTCTTGAAAAGCTTCGAGTAATGAACCTTTTTACGATACAGTTGAGGGGAAAGCCTCGGTGCTTCGCAAAGCTTCATTTTCCCATCACTAAATAAATTCCTTTAAACTAAACAACAGATGAATCCATTTTGTACCATGTTGACTTTCGGCCTTGAGTAGATTCATTCCCTGCGTCCCAATGTTCATACTATCTATACTAAATAGTATGTGAGATTAGAATTAGTGTCCCAAAGCATATTATGCTGAAAAGAGTATGCCAAAAGTCCCCGGATGGTCTAGTATTTCAAGTCGATTTTTGAAGTGTGGATCATCCGTGCACACTCTAATGGCTAATATTACCCACGTTAAAAACTACAAACATGGCGGATGTGCGCGACCGACTGTTAAGTAGAGAGGTTTAGATAAAGGGGTTTGAATTACTAATAATCAACATTTAACCTGGTAAAATAATATTTATTTAATCTTATCTGTAGATTAAATTGATGGTTACTTGTTATCTTTCCTGTGGCTGTCGTAGGGATGACGTAGGAGGTCTGGGGGATTATGGGCAAAACACTGGAATAGGAAGTGGATTGTATGGGTGAATAAAGCGAGACCTCAGTTCTACAAAAGGTGTCAGTTAATCTGTCTATACGCATCTACATGGTGTCAGAAGTGAGCCTGTAGTGACGATGGCACAAGGACTTCGTAAGATTGACCCCCTCGTCTTTCACGAGAATATTGCAGACAACTGGACGAAGTTTAAGCGCGAGTGGCGCATTTACAGCAACGCCGGTCTTTCAGCAGCGACAAAAAAAGTGCAAGCGTACACATTTCTGAACTTTGCTGGTCTCGATGCCCAAGATAAATATGACACTTTCACTTTCGAGGAGGGGGAAGATCCGGAGGATTTGGAGGTACTGGTAAAGAAGTTTGAGGAAATTTGCCTGCCTGTAAAGAATGTAATCATGGACAGACATGCATTTAATACAACGAACCAGAAGCGGTGCTGTCTGTCTCCAGAACAACAAACCAGTGGCGTTTGCCTCAAGTGCACTTACAGAGACTGAGTCACGCTACACTCAGATAGAAAAGGAGCTGCTGGCCCTTGTCTATGCTTGTCAGAAATTCCATGACTACATATATGGCCGTCCAGTGACCGTAGAAACGGATCATCAGCTCCTCATCACTATTCTTATAAAAACACTACACTCAGCCTCTTGTAAGTCGCTTTGGATAAAAGCGTCTGCTAAATGTCTAAATGTAAATGTAAATGTAAATGTATAGCGAAATCACAGCACCCCTGCGTCAACTCCTGCTTCAGGATGCGGAATGGAGCTGGCAGGATCACCACATGGCAGCGTTCACCAGACTTAAAGAACTCCTCACAAGTACTCCTGTACTCCAGTACTTTGACATGCACCAGCCAGTGGTGTTATCTGTAGACGCCTCTCAGCATGGCCTGGGTGCTGTCTGTCTCCAGAACAACAAACCAGTGGTGTTTGCCTCAAGAGCACTTACAGAGACTGAGTCACGCTACGCTCAGATAGAAAAGGAGCTGCTGGCCCTTGTCTATGCTTGTCAGAAATTCCATGACTACATATATGGCCGTCCAGTGACCGTAGAAACGGATCATCAGCCCCTCATCACTATTCTAAAAAAAACACTACACTCAGCCTCTGCACGCCTTCAGAGGATGATGCTTAAGCTGCAGCGCTATAACCTCAATGTCGTCTACAAGAGAGGCAAAGAGCTATACCTAGCAGACGCGCTCTCACGTGCACACCTGCCCTCCACTGACTGGGCCGAAACTACTGAGGACTATGATGTCATGACAGTGGAAGCCCTCTCCTCAAAGAGAATTGAGGAACTGAGAAAGGAGACACAGGCAGACTATCTATGCAGGCGCTTATCTGAGGTCGTTGCCGTGGGCTGGCCTGACTCATCAAAGAAGCTGCCACATGACCTCAGGCAATTCTATGCCATAAGGGATGAACTCACAGTTGATAATGGCCTACTGCTCCGTGGTCAGCGTTTCGTCATTCCCCACTCACTGCAACACTATTATATCAGACAGCTGCATCAAGGGCACCCGGGCCTAGAAGCAACAAAGCGCAGGGCCAGAGAAACCATGTTTTGGCCCAGCATATACCAGGACATTGAACATGAAATCTCCAGGTGCACTCCTTGTAATGCCCTCAGACCATACCAAACAAAGGAGCCCCTTCAATTGCATGATATACCAGACTTGCCATGGGCTCTTACAGCAGCGGACGTTTTTGAGTGGGGGGGAGAAACAACACCTGGTGCTCGTCGACTCGTACTCCGGCTGGTTTGAAATAGACCAGCTCCCAAACATGACCAGTGCGACCATTATAACCAGGCTAAAGCGCCACTTTGCCACCCATGGAGCTCCTCAGCAGCTAATGACTGACAACGCAGCATATTTCACAAGCAGGGAGTTCCAAGAATTTGCCTGCACATGGGACTTCTGCCATGTCACCAGCAGCCCCCACTACCCTCAATCAAATGGGCTAGCTGAGAGGGCTGTACGCTCAGCCAAACACCTGCTAGAAAAATGCGCACGTGATGGAACAGATGTATATGCGGCGCTGCTCAATCTACGCAACATACCAAGGGATGGGCTGCCTTCACCAGCCCGGCACCTGCTTTCTCGGCGCACCAAGACCCTTATTCCCATGACCAAAGCCATGTATGTGCCAAAGGTAGAAACGCAGGTCCAGGCAGCTCTAACACGTACCAGACAAAGGGGAAAGACACATTATGACAGGTCAGCCAGACCCTTGGCCTCATTGCAAGCAGGGCAGACAGTGAGAATACAGACGGACAGGGGATATGATAGATTGGGAACGGTAGTAGGAAGAGCACCACAGCCAAACAGCTACCAGGTCTAGGCCGGAGATGCCACATATGTGAGAAACAGGCGCCACCTCCTACATACACATGAACAGTACACCCCGCCTACAACAACAGAGGTCCCACTTAACACCAACAGTGAACCTCTGCCAGAACCCCAGCCTAATGTCGACCAGCCACAGACAGAACAGGTGCAGGAACCACCTGTGGTTGTCACCCGCTCGGGGAGAATTTCAAAGCCCAACTCCCTATACAAAGACTACACTACATAAGCTCACCAGACTGTTATACCACTCTTATTGCAGCAGTCCTGTTCCTTGTGGCTGTTTAAAAAAATAAAAAATAAAGGGTCGGACCAATGTTGCATTCTGTTTTTGGTATGCGTGTCAGGTTGTACACTGTTTGCTAGTTTCACTGTTCATGTGCACTTTTATAACAGGTAAGGCTAAAGGGCTAACTATATATATACTAACATATATATAGAGCTGTTAAAATATTTTTTGTTGTTGATTCAGTTTCTATTTTTTATTCATGTTCAACCTATCCAGGTATCTTATCATTTAGAAGGGGGATGTAGATTATATTGATGGTTACTTGTTATCTTTCCTGTGGTTGTCTACAAGAGATGACGTAGGAGGTCTGGGGGATTATGGGCAAAACACTGGAATAGGAAGTGGATTGTATGGGTGAATAAAGCGAGACCTCAGTTCTACAAAAGGTGTCAGTTAATCTGTCTATACGCATCTACATGGTGTCAGAAGTATGCCTGTAGTGACGATGGCACAAGGACTTCGTAAGATTGACCCCCTCGTCTTTCACGAGAATATTGCAGACAACTGGATGAAGTTTAAGCGCGAGTGGCGCATTTACAGCAACGCCGGTCTTTCAGCAGCAACAAAAAAAGTGCAAGCATACACATTTCTGAACCTCGCTGGTCCCGATGCCCAAGATAAATATGACACTTTCACTTTCGAGGAGGGGGAAGATCCGGAGGATTCTGAGGTACTGGTAAAGAAGTTTGAGGAAATATGCCTGCCTGTAAAGAATGTAATTATGGACAGACATGTATTTAATACAAGAACCAGAAGCCACATGAAACAATCCAGTCATACGTTGCAACGTTAAAAACACTAGCCAGAAATTGCGAATTTGGCACGCTGCACGACGAACTGATAAGAGATCGATTAGTATGTGGCATTCACAATGACAATATCCGCACACAGCTGCTGCAAGAAAAAAATCTAACTTTAAACTCAGCTATCGAAATATGCATGCTACATGAGCAGTCTGAAAAAGGAAACAAAGAAATAAAAAAAGAAGCAGGTACCAAAGAACTAAAGAAGGAAAGCGAAGTTTGTGCCGTGCAATATTCTACATGTTTAAACTGTGGTGGCCAGCATTCATCTGACCGCAGCAGCTGTCCAGCCTTCAACAAGCGCTGCAACGCGTGTGGAAAAAGGAACCACTTCTCTAAATGGTGCAGATCAAGCCAAACACGCACCTACAACAGACCAGGACAAGGTCCATCTCAGCCCAGCAGAGCACCCCACACCATACGCAGGGGAGGACAGACGCATAGAATCATAGAATAAGTTAACTTGATGCGCAGATTGCATATGAACCAACGGACCTATTTTACTGTGAAAGTGTAGAGGTGCCAGCTGATAGAGGAGAGATATTTACCGTCCTGTCCACTTCCAACACAGGGAAGCAACTTAAGGTGAAGATTGACACTGGAGCTCGGTGCAATGTACTGTCCAGAGGCGTTCTCCAGCACATCGACCCAGGCGGACATTGAACATGAAATCTCCAGGTGCGCTCCTTGTAATGCCCTCAGACCACACCAAACAAAGGAGCCCCTTCAATTGCATGATATACCAGACTTGCCATGGGCTCTTACAGCAGCGGACGTTTTTGAGTGGGGGGGAGAAACAACACCTGGTGCTCGTCGACTCGTACTCCGGCTGGTTTGAAATAGACCAGCTCCCAAACATGACCAGTGCGACCATTATAACCAGGCTAAAGCGCCACTTTGCCACCCATGGAGCTCCTCAGCAGCTAATGACTGACAACGCAGCATATTTCACAAGCAGGGAGTTCCAAGAATTTGCCTGCACATGGGGCTTCTGCCATGTCATCAGCAGCCCACACTACCCTCAGTCAAATTGGCTAGCTGAGATGGCTGTACGCTCAGCCAAACACCTGCTAGAAAAATGCCCACGTGATGGAACGGATGTATATGCGGCGCTGCTCAATCTACGCAACATACCAAGGGGATGGGCTGCCCTCACAGCCCAGCGCCTGCTTTCTCGGCGCACCAAGACCCTTATTCCCATGACCAAAGCCATGTATGTGCCAATGGTAGAAACGCAGGTCCAGGCAGCTCTTAACATGTACCAGACAAAGGGGAAAGACACATTATGACAGGTCAGCCAGACCCTTGGCCTCATTGCAAGCAGGGCAGACAGTGAGAATACAGAAGGACAGGGGATATGATAGATTGGGAACGGTAGTAGGAAGAGCACCACAGCCAAACAGCTACCAGGTCCAGGCCGGAGATGCCACATATGTGAGAAACAGGCGCCACCTCCTACATACACATGAACAGTACACCCCGCCTACAACAACAGAGGTCCCACTTAACACCAACAGTGAACCTCTGCCAGAACCCCAGCCTAATGTCGACCAGCCACAGACAGAACAGGTGCAGGAACCACCTGTGGTTGTCACCCGCTCAGGGAGAATTTCAAAGCCCAACTCCCTATACAAAGACTACACTACATAAGCTCACCAGACTGTTATACCACTCTTATTGCAGCAGTCCTGTTCCTTGTGGCTGTTTAAAAAAATAAAAAATAAAGGGTCGGACCAATGTTGCATTCTGTTTTTGGTATGCGTGTCAGGTTGTACACTGTTTGCTAGTTTCACTGTTCATGTGCACTTTTATAACAGGTAAGGCTAAAGGGCTAACTATATATATACTAACATATATATAGAGCTGTTAAAATATTTTTTGTTGTTGATTCAGTTTCTATTTTTTATTCATGTTCAACCTATCCAGGTATCTTATCATTTAGAAGGAGGATGTAGATTATATTGATGGTTACATGTTATCTTTCCTGTGGCTGTCGTAGGGATGACGTAGGAGGTCTGGGGGATTATGGGCAAAACACTGGAATAGGAAGTGGATTGTATGGGTGAATAAAGCGAGACCTATGTTATATTTCATCTGCAACAGCAATGTAAACTTTTATAAACATCCGTTTGGTCCTTAATTTATAAATGCATCATTATGCAGAACATATGAGCAGAAAATTCTCCGCATGAAGACCCGCGGCTCGCAGATCAACGTGCTTTTCTCTCCGATATGGTAGGAAGTTAAATTAAATGAAATCTGGAGGATATAAACTGTGACAAGATAATTGACAGGGTGCGTGTAACTCGCCAGCCTCTAGCGGCCAGTTGATGAATTACAGTTTAAGTCACTTCCGTGTTGGCTTCACGGGAGAGAGCGGGAGGTTGCCGCTTGGTGTAACTGTGCGACAAAGCGCTCCGTTAAAGGGTTAGTTCACCCAAAAATGAAAATTCTGTCATTAATTACTCACCC